CACACACCCATAGACTCACACACACACACCCATCGACTCACACCCCCATAGACTCACACACACACACACCCATAGACTCACACACACACACACCCATAAACACACACACCGACTCACACACACACCCATCGACACACACACACACACACACCCATCGACTCACACACACACACCCATAGACTCTCACACACACACACCCATAAACACACACACCGACTCACACACACACACACCCATCGACACACACACACACACACCCATCGACTCACACACACACACCCATAGACTCACACACACACACACCCATAAACACACACACCGACTCACACACACACACACACACCCATCGACTCACACACACACACCCATAGACTCACACACACACACACCCATAGACACACACACACAGACTCACACACACACACACCCATCGACTCACACACACACCCATCGACTCACACACGTGTATACACACGTCAGCGCTGCCACCACCCCCTCCACCCGATCGACGGAGGCCGCTGGAACGCTCACGAACTTTGCCGTGCCCATCGGAGCGGCACGGGCGTAATCCCTCCTCCCTCCCCACTTCACTCGTGAGAGAGCGATAGAGAGAGAGACAGAGAGAGACACAGGGAGAGAGATGGAGAGATAGAATTTGACTTGGAGAGAGCGAGAGGGAGACCCAGAGGGGAAGAGAGACTTTTGAATTTTTAAACCAATTTTATTGCCTCTAGATTTGAAGCTTTCGTGACTGCAAAGATTCGTACTGTTAGTTTTTTCGGTGAAGTCACGCGGGTGAAAAAAATGAAATTAAAATTAATAAAAAATAAAATAATAAAAATCACGACGACGTTTCGGTGGCAACACAAGTCTCCGTCATCAGGTGGGACCGTCACAGCCAGATTTGCTGCATCAAGTGGAATCCCTGCCTCACTTGATACCGCAAATCTTGGAATCCCTGCCTCACTTGATACCGCAAATCTTGGAATCCCTGCCTCACTTGATACCGCAAATCTTGGAATCCCTGCCTCACTTGATACAGCAAATCTTGGAATCCCTGCCTCACTTGATACAGCAAATCTTGGAATCCCTGCCTCACTTGATACAGCAAATCTTGGAATCCCTGCCTCACTTGATGCAGCAAATCTTGGAATCCCTGCCTCACTTGATACAGCAAATCTTGGAATCCCTGCCTCACTTGATACAGCAAATCTTGGAATCCCTGCCTCACTTGATACAGCAAATCTTGGAATCCCTGCCTCACTTGATACAGCAAATCTTGGAATCCCTGCCTCACTTGATACCGCAAATCTTGGAATCCCTGCCTCACTTGATGCAGCAAATCTTGGAATCCCTGCCTCACTTGATACAGCAAATCTTGGAATCCCTGCCTCACCTGATGCAGCAAATCTTGGAATCCCTGCCTCACTTGATACCGCAAATCTTGGAATCCCTGCCTCACTTGATGCAGCAAATCTTGGAATCCCTGCCTCACTTGATACCGCAAATCTTGGAATCCCTGCCTCACTTGATGCAGCAAATCTTGGAATCCCTGCCTCACTTGATACAGCAAATCTTGGAATCCCTGCCTCACTTGATACCGCAAATCTTGGAATCCCTGCCTCACTTGATACCGCAAATCTTGGAATCCCTGCCTCACTTGATACAGCAAATCTTGGAATCCCTGCCTCACTTGATACCGCAAATCTTGGAATCCCTGCCTCACTTGATACCGCAAATCTTGGAATCCCTGCCTCACTTGATGCAGCAAATCTTGGAATCCCTGCCTCACCTGATGCAGCAAATCTTGGAATCCCTGCCTCACTTGATACAGCAAATCTTGGAATCCCTGCCTCACTTGATACAGCAAATCTTGGAATCCCTGCCTCACTCGATACAGCAAATCTTGGAATCCCTGCCTCACTTGATGCAGCAAATCTTGGAATCCCTGCCTCACTTGATACAGCAAATCTTGGAATCCCTGCCTCACTTGATACCGCAAATCTTGGAATCCCTGCCTCACTTGATACAGCAAATCTTGGAATCCCTGCCTCACTTGATACAGCAAATCTTGGAATCCCTGCCTCACTTGATACAGCAAATCTTGGAATCCCTGCCTCACTTGATGCAGCAAATCTTGGAATCCCTGCCTCACTTGATACAGCAAATCTTGGAATCCCTGCCTCACTTGATACCGCAAATCTTGGAATCCCTGCCTCACTTGATACCGCAAATCTTGGAATCCCTGCCTCACTTGATACAGCAAATCTTGGAATCCCTGCCTCACTTGATACCGCAAATCTTGGAATCCCTGCCTCACTTGATACCGCAAATCTTGGAATCCCTGCCTCACTTGATGCAGCAAATCTTGGAATCCCTGCCTCACCTGATGCAGCAAATCTTGGAATCCCTGCCTCACTTGATACAGCAAATCTTGGAATCCCTGCCTCACTTGATACAGCAAATCTTGGAATCCCTGCCTCACTCGATACAGCAAATCTTGGAATCCCTGCCTCACTTGATGCAGCAAATCTTGGAATCCCTGCCTCACTTGATACAGCAAATCTTGGAATCCCTGCCTCACTTGATACCGCAAATCTTGGAATCCCTGCCTCACTTGATGCAGCAAATCTTGGAATCCCTGCCTCACTTGATACCGCAAATCTTGGAATCCCTGCCTCACCTGATGCAGCAAATCTTGGAATCCCTGCCTCACTTGATACAGTAAATCTTGGAATCCCTGCCTCACTTGATACAGCAAATCTTGGAATCCCTGCCTCACTTGATACAGCAAATCTTGGAATCCCTGCCTCACTCGATACAGCAAATCTTGGAATCCCTGCCTCACTTGATGCAGCAAATCTTGGAATCCCTGCCTCACTTGATGCAGCAAATCTTGGAATCCCTGCCTCACTTGATGCAGCAAATCTTGGAATCCCTGCCTCACTTGATTCAGCAAATCTTGGAATCCCTGCCTCACTTGATGCAGCAAATCTTGGAATCCCTGCCTCACTTGATGCAGCAAATCTTGGAATCCCTGCCTCACTTGATGCAGCAAATCTGGCTGTGACGGTCCCAGCTACGTGGAGGTGGGGGGGTGGGAATCTTTCGTGCATAGGCAGAAGAGGGAGGGAGTGGCGTTGTGGTGGTGGTGGAGGTGAGTTGTGGGGGTCGAGGAAGAGAGAGAAAGAGAGAGAGGTGGTGGTGGGGGGGGGGTAAAAGGTTCGTGGAAATCGATGGCTTGGAGATGACGTTCGCTCGATAATCTTTCATGTCCTCAAGAGATGAATTGATTGACAATTAAAGCGAGGGCGGTGAGCGTGTTGCGTGCGTGTCGCGGGGAGCGGTGGCGCAGCGGTGAGGGCGACGCTACGAGACCCGAGTTCGACTCACGCTCATGCCCGCCATGAGGGCTGGCCACCCACCTGATACTCTCAGCACTTGCCCCAACAGCCTGTTAGAGGCTACACGGGGGATCTTTGTCTGTGTGTGTTCATAGCTGCTGCTGCTACTCACATCACTTGCCACTACAGCCTGTTAGAGGCTACACGGGGGATCTTTGTCTGTGTGTGTTCATAGCTGCTGCTGCTACTCACATCACTTGCCCCAACAGCCTGTTCGAGGCTACACGGGGGATCTTTGTCTGTGTGTGTTCATAGCTGCTGCTGCTACTCACATCACTTTCCACTACAGCCTGTTAGAGGCTACACGGGGGATCTTTGTCTGTGTGTGTTCAGAGCTGCTGATACTTACAGCACTTGCCCCTACAGCCTGTTAGAGGCTACACGGGGGATCTTTGTCTCTGTGTGTTCATAGCTGCTGCTGCTACTCACATCACTTGCCCCTACGGTCTGTTAGAGGCTACACGGGGGATCTTTGTCTGTGTGTGTTCAGAGCTGCTGATACTTACAGCACTTGCCCCTACAGCCTGTTAGAGGCTACACGGGGGATCTTTGTCTCTGTGTGTTCATAGCTGCTGCTGCTACTCACATCACTTGCCCCTACGGTCTGTTAGAGGCTACACGGGGGATCTTTGTCTCTGTGTGTGTTCATAGCTGCTGCTACTCACAGCACTTGCCCCTACAGCCTGTTAGAGGCTACACGGGGGATATTTGTCTTTGTGTGTTCATAGCTGCTGCTGATACTCTCAGCACTTGCCCCAACAGTCTGTTAGAGGCTACACGGGGGATCTTTGTCTTTGTGTGTTCATAGCTGCTGCTACTCACAGCACTTGCCCCGACAGCCTGTTAGAGGCTACACACAACAACAACAACAACCGCCATTCGCCACTAAGTGGCAGTGACGTCACCACGACGCTTGTGCCAGGCTATGTGCACCTTGAGGCTACCACGTGAAGTGTCGAACGCCCGCTAGCAGGAGGTCACGGGGCAGACCCAGCAGGTGCCACAGGTCGACTGACTGAGATGACCGAGATGACTGGCTGATGCACCACCTGTGCCCCCTACTGTACCAACTTGCTGTGCTTTAGCCACCCGGCGCTCCGCTCGTTGTTGTGAGTCTATGGGTCTCTGTGCGAGTTTATGGGTCTCTGTGTGAGTCTGTGAGTCTCTGTGTGAGTCTATGGGTCTCTGTGTGAGTCTATTGGTCTTTGTGTGAGTCTATGGGTCTCTGTGTGAGTCTATGGGTCTCTGTGCGAGTTTATTGGTCTCTGTGTGAGTCTATGGGTCTCTGTGTGAGTCTATGGGTCTCTGTGTGAGTCTATGCGTCTCTGTGTGAGTCTATGGTTCCCCTGTGTACATCTCTGGGTCTCTGTGTGAGTCTATGGGTCTCTGTGTGTATTTATGGGTCTCTGTGTAAATTATGGGTCTCTGTGTGAGTCTATGGGTCTCTGTGTGAGTCTACGGGTCTCTGTGTAAATCTATGTGTCTCTGTGTAAATCTATGTGTCTCTGTGTAAGTCTATGAGTCCCGGTACAAGTCTATACTTCCCTGTGTACATCTCTCTCTCTCTGCCCGTCTCTCTCCGCGCGTGCTCCTCAGGCCTTGCGCGACGCCAGCTTCCTTCCACCCTCCGGCGTTGGCGACGAGGTGTCCGGGGCTCAGCGGCAGCTGGCGCAGGCTCTGGACGAAGCGGTTCGGCGCCACTACGGCGAGTGGGCGGGCGGCGTGGACAAGCAGGCGCTGGCGCGGCTAGACGTGCCCGTGCTGGTGCGCAGCCGCGAGCACCCGGGCACCATCGACGTCAACTTCGACAGGTGTGCGTGGGTGTGGGTGGGTGGCTGTGGGGTTTTGTGTGTGTGTGTGGGTGTGTGTGGCTGTGGGTGTGTGTGGGTGTCTCTGTGGGTCTCTGTGTGTGAGTCTGTGTGTGTCTGTGGGTGTCTGTGTGAGTCTGTGTGGGTCTCTGTGGGTTTCTGTGGGTGTATGTGTGTGAGTCTGTGAGCCTCTGTGGGTCTCTGTGTGTGAGTCTGTGGGTCTCTGTGAGTCTCTGTGGGTGTCTGTGTGTGAGTCTGTTAGTCTCTGTGGGTGTCTGTGTGTGAGTCTGTGGGTCTCTGTGGGTCTCTGTGTGTGAGTTTATTGGTCGCTGTGTGTGAGTCTGTGGGTGTGTGTGGGTGTATGTGGGTGTGTGCCGGAGGCCCCGGGGGGTCAGGCTTTTATGACGTCTCCTGGCCAAACCCCATTTGGCGGAGCCAGGAGATTGAATTTTCACCCTCGGGGCTCCTCCAGAAACAACAAAAAACCATTGCGGATGGCCACGTGGAATGTTCGAACGCTCACTGCGGAGGAGAGACTGCCACTCCTCTGTCGGGAGCTGGACCTGTACCGCCTGGATCTCTGTGGCATTCAGGAGGTCCGGTGGACCGGCTCTGGCTCCTGCCACCATGAGGGGTGGACAGTCCTCTACTCGGGGCAGGAGACTGCCAAACAACAGGGTGTGGCTCTTCTTCTGAACAAAAGAATGAAGGGGGCGTGGGAGCGTGGCGGTGAGGTGTGGGAAGCTGTAAGCCCCAGGATACTTTGGGCTCGCCTTCCCATCAACCAGAGGCGAGGAGTGGTGGTCGTGGTTACTTATGCCCCCACCGAAGATGAACATCCGTGGAGGGATGCAAGCAAAGCCGATGAGTCAGACGCTTTCTATGACCTCCTGTCACAGGTGCTGGCTAAAGTGGCCACTCGGGACAGAGTCATCTTGTTGGGTGACTTCAATGCCCGAGTTGGTCATGATGCTGGTACCTGGTCTGGAGTGATTGGAAGGCATGGGCCAGATCAGCTCAATAATAACGGTAGGAGGCTGCTAGATTTTTGTGCAGCCCATGGGCTTGTAATTACCAACACGCTCTTCCGGCATCGGCGCATCCACACAACATCATGGATACATGCCGGGTCTAAGCAAGAGCATCTGCTGGACTACATAGTGACGGACCAGCGAATGCGAGCCCATGTCCTTGACACCAGGACCTACCGTGGAGCTGATCTGCCCTCTGACCATCGACTAGTCATCTGTAAGATGCGCCTGCCTTTCTTCCACTCCGGTGGTGGGTGTACACCTAGGATCCCATTCCAACCAAAAGTGGCCTGGTCTCAGCTGATGAAAGGTGCAAGCGAGAATTTCATCATCGCTTCCAGCTGGGGTTGGCATCGTCCCCCACTCCACCTGATGTCGAGGGTAAATGGGCGAGGTTTAAGACTGTGACTCATGCAGCTGCAATGGCTGCTTTGGGTACGCGGTCCAGACCTCCCCAGAAACCCTGGCTGACAGAGGAGGTGTTCAGGTTAATTGAGAAAAAGCGACAGGCCCACTCTCATCGCCTACAGCATCCCACGTCAGAGAATGAGGAGGTTTACCGCAGCCTTCGCTCGGAAGTTCGGAGAGCCGTAAGGCGCTTGTAAGGATGGGTGGTGGTCGCGGGTTGCTGAGGAGATGGAGTCTGCCTCAGTGGCCCGTGATCACAAATCACTATTTAACTCCATCAAAAAAGTAACCTGCAGCGCCACACCTATTACCATCATTAGAGGAAAAAACGGTGATCCAATCTCCGACCCCCAGGAACAGGTTTGCAGATTTGCTGAGCATTTCTGTGAGGTCCTGGGGGAGGGAAATTCTCTCAGCCAGGAAAACATCATGGCACAAAGTGGTGATAACCCTGCTGAGGCTGCGGTGCCTCAAATATTGGAAGAGGTCACCCCCTGTGAGTGGCTGGCTGAGGTTCCAGCTGTTGAGGAAGTATTGAGGGCGATCCGATGCGTGTGAACCTGGTGCCACGACGGGTTTAGGGTGGCAGGGCATTCCCTGGGGGTGCCTGCCAGTGCGTGTGTGTGGGGTGGTGTGTGTAGGTGTGTGTGTGGTGGTGTGTGTAGGTGTGTGTGTAGGGTGGTGTGTGTAGGTGTGTGTGTGTAGGGTGGTGTGTGTAGGTGTGTGTGTGGTGGTGTGTGTAGGTGTGTGTGTGGTGGTGTGTGTAGGTGTGTGTGTGGTGGTGTGTGTAGGTGTGTGTGTGGGGTGGTGTGTGTAGGTGTGTGTGTGGTGGTGTGTGTAGGTGTGTGTGTAGGGTGGTGTGTGTAGGTGTGTGTGTGGTGGTGTGTGTAGGTGTGTGTGTGGGGTGGTGTGTGTAGGTGTGTGTGGTGGTGTGTGTAGGTGTGTGTGTAGGGTGGTGTGTGTAGGTGTGTGTGTGTAGGGTGGTGTGTGTAGGTGTGTGTGTGGTGGTGTGTGTAGGGCGATGTGTGTGTGGGGTGGTGTGTGTAGGTGTGTGTGTAGGGTGGTGTGTGTGGGGTGTGTGTGGTGGTGTGTGTAGGGTGGTGTGTTTGTGTAGGGTGGTGTGTGTGTGTGGTGGTGTGTGTGTGTGTTGGGTGGTGTGTGTGTGGGGGTAGGGTGGGGTGTGTGTGTGTGTGTAGGGTGTGTGTGTAGAGGGTGGTGTGTGTGTGTGGTGGTGTGTGTGTGTGGTGGTGTGTGTGTAGGGTGGTGTGTGTAGGGTGGCAGGGTATGCCCTGGGGGTGCCTGCCAGTGCGTGTGTGTGGGGTGGTGTGGGTAGGGTGGTGTGTGTGTGTGGTGGAGTGTGTAGGGTGATGTGTGTGTGTGTGTAGGGTGGTGTGGATAGGGTGGTGTGTGTAGGGTGGTGTGTGTGTGGTGGTGTGTGTAGGGTGATGTGTGTGTGTGTGTAGGGTGGTGTGGGTAGGGTGGTGTGTGTGGTGGTGTGTGTGTGGTGGTGTGTGTAGGGTGTGTGTGTGGTGGTGTGTGTAGGGTGGTGTGTGTGTGTGTGGTGGTGTGTGTGTTTAGGGTGGCAGGACATGCCCTGGGGGTGCCTGCCAGTGCGTGTGTGTGGGGTGGTGTGGGTGTGTGGGGTGGTGTGTGTGTGGTGTGTGAAGGCATCGGGCAGAGATGATCTCCCAAGCGAAATGCTGAGGGAGGGTGGCGTTTGTGCACAGACTGCCCTATATGACATCATAACAACAGTCTGGACCACTGGACGGGTTCCGCAGGACTGGAAGGATGCCCTGGTGGTTCCCCTCTTTAAGAAGGGGGACCGTACCGACTGTAACAACTACAGGGGCATCTCACTCCTCAGTGTGCCGGGTAAGGTCCTGGCAAGGATTATTCAACATCGCCTTGCTAGGCACGCTGAGGAGAGGCTTGCGGAGCCCCAATGCGGTTTCAGGAAAGGGCGGTCCTGCACAGATGCCATATTTTCTGTCCGTCTGCTACAGCAGAGGTGTAGGGAATTCCAAAAAGACCTACATCTCTGCTTTATTGACCTGGTCAAGGCCTATGATACCATCAGTAGGACTGGGCTCTGGGTTGTTCTTCGTGCTTTCGGAGTCCCTGACCCTCTGCTCACAATCATTAAGGACCTTCATGATGGTGAGCAGGCCCGGGTAAAACTACGTGGCCGGGAGTCGGAGCCTTTCCCTGTACACCTTGGGGTGCGACAGGGATGTCCTCTGGCTCCCACATTATTTAACATCTATTTTGACCGCGTAGTTCGTGAAGCCTTCAATAGCTGTACCGGGGGAATTTCCATTTGGTACAGATATAATGGGAGGCTGATCGATGCCCGGGTGCGATCAAGGGATGGCTCCCTATTGATCAACCACGTTATGTATGCCGATGATTTGGTAATAGCTGCTCATTCAGAAGAGGAGTTGGAGACGCTGCTGCTGAGACTGGAGCGTGCCACTAAGAGGTGGGGCCTTACCATCAGCCCCACCAAAACTAAGCACCTGCCTGGGTATTTTGTACCATTGGACACTCCACCCCCACTACTCCCAATTGGTGATGGGGCAGTTGTGGAGAGAGTGGAGAGTTTCCCATACCTGGGCAGTGTGCTTATGACCGGCTCCAGTTTATCAGCAGAGGTCTCACTCCGAATCAGTCGAGCGGCAATATCTTTTCATCGGTTGCGTAACGCTGTGTGGAAGCTACCTGGTCTGTCGCTCCGCACGAAGCTTCAGGTCTTCTCGGCCACGGTCATTCCCTCCCTTCTCTACGCTTGCGAAACGTGGACCCCCCTAGTGGAGCATCTTCGCCGGTTGGAAACATTTAGGCTGGCCTGCCTACGATCCATCCTGGGTTTAACCAGGCTGGATTGTGTGAGGAGCTCACAAATCCTTGAAAGATCTGGGCAAAGTCCCATCAGTGAGCTCCTCCGGCAGGCAAGGCTGCTTTGGCTGGGTCATGTAGCCCGCATGCCCAGCCACCGCATGCCTAAACAGCTTTTGTTCGGCCGGATCGAGGGGGCTAGACGGGCGCGGCACGGGCTGGAGAAGAGATGGAGTGATGTGGTACAGGAGGACGTGGAGCTGAGTGGACTTGCCGATGACTGGTACCAGCGGTGTCAAGATCGGCCTCAGTGGAGGAGGCTCGTGAAGGACGCTACTGGGCAGTTGGAGGCAGTCGCCCTCCAACAACAACGGAGGGCGGAGGAGCGACGCTCACAACAACGAGCGGAGCGCCGGGTGGCTAAAGCACAGCAAGTTGGTACAGTAGGGGGCACAGGTGGTGCATCAGCCAGTCATCTCGGTCATCTCGGTCAGTCGACCCGTGGCACCTGCTGGGTCTGCCCCGTGACCTCCTGCCAGCGGGCGTTCGACACTTCACGTGGCCTCAAGGTGCACTTGGCCTGGCACAAGCATCGTGGTGACGTCACCGCCACTTAGTGGCGAATGGCGGTTGTTGTTGTTGTTGTCTCTGTGTGTCTCTGTGGGTCTCTGTGAGTTTCTGTGGTTCTCTGTGGGTCTCTGTGTGTGAGTCTGTGGGTCTCTGTGAGTCTCTGTGAGTCTCTGTGGGTGTGTGTGGGTCTGTGTATGTGAGTCTGTGGGTGTCTGTGAGTCTCTGTGGGTCTCTGTGGGTGTCTGTGTGTGAGTCTGTGGGTCTCTTTGTGTGAGTCTGTGGGTGTCTGTGGATCTCTCTGTGTGTGAGTCTGTGGGTGTCTGTGGGTCTCTGTGTGTGAGTCTGTGGGTCTCTGTGTGTGAGTCTGTGGGTCTCTGTGGGTCTTTATGAGTCTCTGTGGGTGTATGTGTGTAAGTCTGTGGGTGTCTGTGGGTCTCTGTGGGTGTATGTGGGTCTCTGTGGGTCTCTGTGGGTGTATGTGGGTCTCTGTGGGTCTCTATGAGTCTCTGTTTGTGTATGTGTGTGAGTCTGTGGGTCTCTATGTGTGAGTCCGTGGGTCTCTGTGAGTCTCTGTGGGTTTCTATGCATCTCTGTGGGTCTCTGAGTCTCTGTGAGTCTCTGTGTGTGAGTCTGTGGGTCTCTGTGAGTCTCTGTGAGTCTTTGTGGGTCTCTGTGGGTCTCTGTGGGTCTATGTGAGTCTCTGTGGGTCTCTGTGTGTGAGTCTGTGGGTCTCTCTGCGTCTCTTTGGGTCTCTGTGAGTCTCTGTGGGTCTTTGTGTGGGAGTCTGTGGGTCTCTGTGTGAGTCTGTGGGTCTTTGTGTGTGAGTCTGTGGGTCTCTGTGTGAGTCTGTGGGTCTCTGTGTGAGTCTGTGGGTCTCTGTGTGCGAGTCTGTGCGTCTCTGTGTGAGTCTGTGGGTCTCTGTGGGTCTCTGTGAGTCTCTGTGGGTCTTTGTGTGGGAGTCGGTGGGTCTCTGTGTGAGTCTGTGGGTCTTTGTGTGTGAGTCTGTGGGTCTCTGTGTGTCTCTGTGGGTCTTTGTGTGTGAGTCTGTGGGTCTCTGTGTGAGTCTGTGGGTCTCTTTGTGTGAGTCTGTGGGTCTCTGTGTGTGAGTCTGTGGGTCTCTGTGGGTCTCTGTGGGTCTCTGTGTGTGAGTCTGTGGGTCTCTGTATGAATCTGTGGGTCTGTTTTGTGTGTCTCTCCCCGCAAGTCAAAAGCAATTAAGACGCGAATACAACAGTGGGAGGCCTTTTGCCCACCGGTACAAACTTACAGACTGGCAACAACAACAACAAAAAGCATAAAGTAGGAGGGCGGCCGATGGATTCGAACCACCGGGAAATGTCTCTCCCTCATGAGGGCCGTCTGCCAGGTCTGACGGATACAAACTCCCTCCCTCCACCCTCCCCTCCCTCCACCCACGACCTCCTGCGTACCAGACGAGGTAGTCAACATCTAGCCACCGTAATGATAATGATGAGAGAGAGAGACGCAGACTCCAAATATACAGCAGCAGCAGGCGTCGTCAGGGTTGTGCTCCAACCCACGACCTCCTGTACACCAGGCGAGGTAGTCAACTTCTCCTAGCCACCGTGATGATGACGATGAGAGAGAGAGACACGCAAACCCCAAATATACAGCAGGCCTCAGGGTCGAGATCGAGCCCACGACCTCCTGTGTACCAGGCGAGGTAGTCAACATCTCCTAGCCACCGTGATGATGATGATGAGAGAGAGACACACACAGACTCCAAATCGCATCCGTGACCAGTAGTTGAACTCGTGCAAACTTTCCAATCGCCACGAGCCTCCTCCATCCCCCCCCCCCAAAAAAAAATGTAATTCCCTGCCCGTCCTTGTTTGTTTGTTGTTGTTGTGTGTTGTTGCTGTTGTTTGTTATCGCTCGTAGTCGAGCGTCTGCCGCCCGTAATTAAGCGAGCGCGTTGGCTCCTTCTCGGCGTCGGGAGAGCGAGCGGCGCTAATTGGGGGAAGGTGGTAGGAGCAGGTGGGTGGGTGGGTGGGTTGCGGTGATGCGGTGGTGAGTGGGTCGGTCAATAAATCAACTACTTTAAATTTGACACTATGAGACATCTCCTTTACCAGTGGCAAAATATAGTAGTAGGTTTTTACCCTTGCAACTGGTACAAAACTGACACCTTTATACAAGGCATCATGTTTGCAATAACCACAACACAAGCAGTCAAAATGGAAACAAAAGAAACAACTCTGATGATGATAATGATATGCACTGTCCTTGAAGTTGATTGGTGCACACCCGAGACAGCTTTTCTTAGAGCCTAGTCTCCATTGGTGTTGGACCAGATGACGCCAAAAGGCGTACAACTCAAAGGCAGCGCACTATCAGAGTATTGAGAGCTCGGGGTAAAGCATTTACACTATGAGACCTCCTTTACCAGTGGCAAAATGTAATAGTAGGTTTTAACCCTTTCAACTGGTACAAAAACTGACACCTTTATACAAGGCATCATGTTTGCAATAACCACAACACAAGTAGTCAAAATGCAAACAAAAGAAACAACTCTGATGATGATAATGATATGCACTGTCCTTGAAGTTGATTGGTCCACGCCCGAGACAGCTTTTCTTAGAGCCTAGTCTCCATTGGTGTTGGACCAGATGACGCCAAAAGGCGTACAACTCAAAGGCAGCGCACTATCAGAGTATTGAGAGCTCGGGGTAAAGCATTTACACTATGAGACCTCCTTTACCAGTGGCAAAATGTAATAGTAGGTTTTAACCCTTTCAACTGGTACAAAAACTGACACCTTTATACAAGGCATCATGTTTGCAATAACCACAACACAAGTAGTCAAAATGCAAACAAAAGAAACAACTCTGATGATGATAATGATATGCACTGTCCTTGAAGTTGATTGGTGCACACCTGAGACAGCTTTCCTTAGAGCCTAGTCTCCATTGGTGTTTTTTGAGTTGTAAGCCTTTTGGGTGTCATCTGGTCCAACACCAATGACCGAGATGACCCAGATGACCCAGATGACCCAGATGACCGAGATGACCCAGATGACTCAGATGACCCAGATGATTGAGATGCTAGATTTGAAGCTTTCGTGACTGCAATGATTCATATTCTTAGGTTTTTTCGGTAAAGTCACGTAGGTAAAAAAAATTAAAATTAATGAAAGTAAAATATAATAAAAATCACGACGTTTCGGAGGCAACACAAGCTTCCGTCTTCAGGTGGACCCGTCACAGCACGATAGCTGCATCAAGTGAGAGCTTGACTTTACTGAAAAAACCTAAGAATATGATTGAGATGACCGAGATGACCGAGATGACCGAGATGATTGAGATGACCGAGATGACTGAGATGAACCAGATGAACCAGATGACCCAGATGACCGAGATGACCCAGATGACCCAGATGACCCAGATGAACCAGATGAACCAGATGACCCAGATGACCGAGATGACCGAGATGACTGAGATGAACCAGATGAACCAGATGACCCAGATGAACCAGATGACCCAGATGACCCAGATGACCCAGATGACCCAGATGAACCAGATGAACCAGATGACCCAGATGACCGAGATGACCCAGATGACTGAGATGACCGAGATGACCCAGATGACTGAGATGAACCAGATGAACCAGATGACCCAGATGAACCAGATGAACCAGATGACCCAGATGACCGAGATGACCCAGATGACTGAGATGACCGAGATGACCCAGATGACCCAGATGACGCAGATGACGCACGTCAAGACCCTGACCCCCCCCCCCCCCGCCCCCCTCTCGCACCGCAGGTCGCTGCTCAAGACGTTTGCCGAGGTGTTCTACTGGGACCGGATGTCGTTCGAGGTGCCGCACTACGCCGCTGACGTGTACAGTCGCTACGACGAGCTGCGC